CCCCAAAACCCCAAAACCCCAAAACCCCAAAACCCCATCAAATATTCCTTTGCTTAAAATATGATTATTTAAATGAGAAGAATATAAGTCTTTTAATTTTAAATTTGAAATAATGAACTTTGGACTTCAGCATAATGAGAATTATAGCTCTAATGTAGAGCTCAATTCTACCCCTTTCAATATCCAATAAATACAATACCCTAACTATAATAACAATGAAAATTATTAGTGGCATCAACCAGCTGTTCCTATGACTTAAAGATATCTACCTACTGCTTAAAGTACAAGATAATTTGGCAAATAGCTTTAAAACATCCCCAATATAAGGGAAACTGTTCACCAAGCAGATCAAATGGAAGTGGACGAGGTTCCTCACTACAGAAAGTCCGCAAGGTAGACATAATCTTTTGTTACAAGGCAAAAAACTCGCAGTAATAGAAGAAGTGACAGTAATCGCTGCGGTACAACTAGGAATAGTAATAATCCGGTTCTCAGTAAAAATCAGCCTTAGCTTTTAAGATCATACAGTCAAGTACATTATGACTATTAGTGTGATAGAGACACTGCCTCAAACACTTAATTTTGCTCCGAATACGCTGGTCACATCCATTAATACCTGTTAAGGTTAGACAAATTAGAGCAAGTCGATGCAAACTATATGGGCAGGCAAACAGAAATAAATGATAAAATGCGTGCAATTTTAGTTGATTGGCTAATTGAGGTCCACTTGAAATTTAAACTATAGAAGGAAACTCTATTCATTACAATCAAAATTATTGATAGATTTCTAGAAAAAGAAATAGTTACTAAGAGTCGATTACAGCTAGTCGGTGTAACTGCTCTCCTCATTGCCTCCAAGTACGAGGAGATTTACCCTCCTGAACTCAAGGATTTTGTTTTTATTACTGACAAAGCATATACAAAAGAGCATCTTTTAGCAATGGAGTTTAATATTTTAAGTGTGCTCTCATTCGATATCACTTTTCCCACAGCGAATCGCTTTCTCGAACGATATATCAAGCTTCTCGGCAACGACCATGATATTTGGAGCTATGCACAATTTTTTATTGAGCTCGCATTAATAGATATTAGGATGCTGCAATATGATTCATCAGTTGTTGCGGCATCGGCAATATGCCTCGCCTACAAAGATTTATCGTTAGCGATGAGTTGTGTCTAAGCATCGCCTTAGTACGACCAGAGAGTAGAGTAGTACATATCTCAGAGCCTCGGATTCAATGAGACAGACCTCTTGATATGTATAAAAGAACTACAATTTATAAAAATTCGCAGTACTAACTCAACTCTGCAATCTGTGCGAAAGAAGTACGCACATCCACAATATAGCTCCATACATCCCTATATTTTTCAATAAAGCTGAACTCGCTGACTAATTTCTAGCACTAGTTTTTCATTTGAAAAAGGCGAACAGCAAAAGAATCATTCTTACTCTCTCATAGAGAACTTTGCTTCTTATAAATAAGCTGATATAATTTACAAATATATTTAAATATAAATTTTCTGAATTTCCGACATACTGAAGGTTTTGGGGTTTTGGGGTTTTGGGGTTTTGGGG